TGGACGCTTGACTTTTGCGGGTTCGGAGCCAGGGGTTCAGAGTCAAAAAACCCTTTGTTTGGGTTGCTCGGCTCACCAGAACCTGCGAGGGAGCTCCAAAGCCCATCGGAAGTCATGGACCCGTGTAGCTGAGCCCTTCCCACGGGGGCTGGCGCTCTTCATCGCGATGAACCTGTCGGGAGCTTCTGGAGACCGGCCAGAATGGAGGCGCCTGGATGCTGCTGATTGTGCGAAGTGTTTAAGCAAGTGCATCGGAGAGGCTTCTAATCCCGGGCGCAGGAAGACTACCGCTCGAGAGCGCAGGCGAGAAGTAGATCTTTTTGAAATTCGCCTTGTGCGCAAGGAAACGGCCAATCTGGAGTCCAAACCGTGGTCTGGGTTTTCGGATTGGGTACTTGAGGATTGCGATGAACAGGTTGCAGATGACGTTCTGAGTACCTCTGCCACGGTAGCACGGTAGCGTTCCTGCTTTTCTTGTATGGCGAGTTTCTCTTCAGATCGGGCGCCTCACAGCGCCTTCCGGCGTTTGATTGCATATGCACAGCGGACCGATGGTGACTTCAAGCTGTTCTCTAAAACTTGTTGGGAGCTTGTGTCCAAATGGGAGATCACGGAGCCTCTGGTCCACAGACCGCCTTTACCTCGCAAGTTATGCGAGGCCATGGTCAGCCTCGCCCTGGCGTGGAACTGGCCTCGCTTTGGTCTGGTGCTGTTCCTAGCGTTTAACGGAATTCTCCGAATTGGCGAAGTACAGTCGGCTATATGCCCGGGCCGATCTCGTGTTGCTGCGTGACTTGCTTGCGGACAATACGTTTCGCGCCTGTGCCTGAGAAATTTCCAAGCCGAAGATTAGTCGTAGAGGAGGCGGGAGGCAACAGCATGCCGCAATCAAACATGAGCTACTCGTCAAAGCATGTGTCGCTGTCTTCGGCATTTTCCTTTTTCTGCTCACACTTTCCGAAGAAGATGGGACGACATCTTGCGAGCGCTGGAAGTTCAGCGCGAACTTCTCTTGATGCCTGCGTCAGTCCGCTGGGGAGGCTGCGTTGCAGCTTACCAAGCGGGTGTTTCGATTCAGGACATTTTGTGGCAAATGAGAATCCAGCATCTGACGACTCTTTATCGCTACATGCAAGAAGTTGCCGCTGACAATATCATCGGAGAGCTTACGGAAAGATCGAAATCATCCATTTCAGCTGCTGCCAGTTTGCTGCCGCACTTTCTTGACAAAGTTTGTCACTGCACAGGTCACTTCCATGTCCCATAGGTGCAAACACCAGCGAGCACCGACTCCTTGCCTCGTAGGGCCTGCTCATTTCTGGTGGTTGCGCTTACATCTGAGCTCCGCTTCGCTTTGAACTCTCAGATTTTATGAGCCGCGGCTGGACGTTGCCAGCCTATACCAGAACTTACCAGCAGGCGAGCAGTGAAACTGCGAGAAATTTCTAGGTTTCCCTAAGTACCCAGTACCCGAGGGCTTGAGCCAGGCTACCCTTGTAGAGTGTGTGGCACTTGTACAGAACTGCTGCGCACCGCAGCCCTTGTGTGGCTTCGAAAAAGATAGGTGCCCTTGTAGGAGAAGCCATGTTGCAGGCGCGCCTTCCTGCCCGGCTTAAGCACCGTTTCCCCAAAGCGGCAAATCGTGCTAAGGTATTCGACCTCGTTCAGGATCTTGTACGCTGTGAGCTTGTCGGTGGTCCTGACCTGGAACCGCGCAGCCGACCAGGCCACGCACGTCACCAGATTCGGATGGCGGTGGCCACGGTTTAGGGAACCCTCGCTGTCGATCTGCAGGGTCACTTGCAAGTGGCCCAGATTGTTCAGGTACTTGACACTGCACGGCCATCCTGTGTCTCGGCCGACCAGGGTCAGCCCCATCAACCAGGCAGGGAAGATCGCGCGTCCAACCCGCAGTTGGGGTGCCGCTTCTGGAGGTCCATCAGCCAGGTGGGCGCCAGCCCTGCAAGGATTAGCTGTGCTCCCCCTCCACCGTGCCTTGGCTGCTAGAAGGTGATGACCACGGAAACAGATGAGCCGGTGCGCTCCAGGGACGCTCTCCGTCCGCGGCTCGGGTCGGCTGCCAGGTCCCCCCGTTCCTCTCCGCCGGCTTCAGAAGCCGAGGGTCAGGGTTCATTATAGCTGACCGCCGCTATCCGTGCCTTCTTCTTGTACCGGGCACAGGTATAGGGCATTAGGAATTGGTGTGGTTGCGGCCCTTCTCTCCCTTGCCTTTGCCGCCTTTGCCGCCTGCGTGGGGCGACTCCACCTGAGGAGCGCACGCTTGTCCTCATTTGAGGTGGCCTTGTCCACCCCAAACTCTGCCTCCTGCTTGGCAAGGTCGCTTTTCCATTCCTGGAGAGCCGCGCAGAACTCTTGCTCCTTAGTGGGAAACTTTGGGCTCAGGAGGGCCCGTCGCCAGATCAAGCCTCTGTTGGCCTGGTCCGGGTGGAATTCCCACCACAGCTGGCGCCACAGCAGGAACCCATCTTGGCGGCGAATCCCGCGCGCGATCTTCAAGGCTGGAGCACACTCGGCCACCAACGAAACCCAGCATGCCAAAAAATTTGAGACTCAGCAGCCGGTCTTCTTCACTTTCGACCGCGTCTTCTTCTGCGGGGTTTTTCCGCGCCTCTTCAATGTTACGGGAAAGTCGGGTCAACGTGCAGCATAGGTCTCTAGCTGCCACACGAAACGCTCGCAGTACAGGGGGCTTTATGGCTTGTTTCAACAGGTCTGCCCGCTTGAACGGTGCGGTGAAGCGTACCTGACCTAACTGTGCAGGTGAAATGCGCTGCTGGCGGGTCCTCCCGCTGCCGCGGCGGTGCCTCCTGCTTGCTGCGTTCACAGCAGCTAGGGCCTCTAAGCACTGGTCCTTTCTTGGGACCCCCAGCGCCTGCTGCATCTCACGGTGGGATGCCTCTGCCGGGCCGCCAGTGAGGGCGCAGCCAAGGGAGGAGGAGATCATCCAGTGCACCCTTCAAGCCACCATGCTGTTGAGATTGTTAACCTGGTTGGTTGTTCTGTGGTTTGGAGGTGGCCACGCCGCCGGTCGCTGTGAAGAAGCTCTTCGGCAGCACCGCCGAGAGACCTCCGTCCACCAGCTCCCGAGCCTGAGGTTCCGGGGAAGCGGGCGCCGCCGCTGCAGCACCAGCTGCAGAGGAAGTGGTAGCACTGCCACCAGCGGCACCCCCGCAGCTCGTGGGGATCCCACGACCCAGGCGTCGCAGACTCCAACCTGGAGCGTGCCTGCCACCAGTGCCGCAGCACAACTTCGGGGAGATGTACTACGTCCCAACGCGACGCACAGTACACCCTTTTAGAAACTGTGCGGGGTTGGCCTCTGTGAGGCCACGGGACATCATCACCGAGAACCTTTGCCTCAATTGCTGGGGCGGCCTCATCATAGGGACGAGGCACGAGGATCGCACACACTTTCTCGTGGCGGGTGACAACTACACACCGCACGTGTTCCCAGCTTGTGAGATCCGTGCTTTAATGGACCCGGTTTTAGCTAATGATTTAAAAGGATTATAGAGTTTGACAAGCTGGTAGTAAGCGAGTAGTAACCTAATTATAACCCAGTAGTAAACTGTTATAAGTGTGATAAACGGTTATTGAAGTTATGTGGGATTATATAGAAGTTATAATTTTTAAGGAGTTTATACAAGAGGTTATGATAGGTTATCTAAGTGGTTAAGCATAAAGAATGTAAGTCGTATAATGGTTATAATCGGGATTACATATCCACTTATCAGACACACACTACTGCCATTTTACTGGGTCACGCTGTCTATATATTTCATGGTTGATATAGGCCCAGAGGCAAGTTGGTGTGCGATTGGAACCAGTTTTTCCCTTGACATGGCGGGATTGTGTTTCTGAATCCGCTTTACCATTGCATCCCATTTGCTGCCTGCATCAAGACAAGGGCTCGAAACCCCGAAAGCATGCAAAGCACAACCGCACAATGCAACACCAAGCTTGCATTGAGCCGGTGTGCTCCGGGGACATCTTTCAAAAATTTGCAATGGCTGTTCAATTCCATTTAAAGTTGAGATCAAGTTTCACGTGCCCATGGCGGCGTTGTACGGTTCGTGCATATATGCAGGTGCAGCTCGAGCCAAGTGCGTTGGAGGCAGTGCACGCGTGGCACAGCGGACAGGACATGCAGAGGATGAATGAAGATGAGGAGGAGGACCATGAACTGCCCCGGAGGGGAACGAGCGCTGATATCCAGCGGGCATGCATGCATGCACAGTTCTTCTGTGCAGTTTGGTATATAGCGCATGGATCGCGAAAGCTGTGCGGGATGCTTCTGCGTCCAAAGAGGAAAAGAAGAAGATTTAAGGTTTTGTTTGAAATGAATTTTATTGTTATATATATATATATATATATGTATATGCATATATGCAGGAAGACAATTGAAAGCCGCGCAATCGCATAAATCTTGCCGGTAGCAGCAAATGTTCAATTGTTCATGTGGAGCTGCATAGAGCCCAGAGGCTACAACGCCTGTGGAAGTTCAATTGAGCTTGATTGGAGAAGGGCTCCATGTTTGAAGGCTGAAGTGGAGAAGGGCATTCTGCATGTGCCAGTACGGGAAAGAACGCATGCTTCCGCGCCGCTCCGTCAAGAGAGGGTATAGCTGACGTAGTTGCATGCATGCCTTCACACACGCAGCAGCACGCATGCACAGCAGCAAGCACAGCAGCATGCACAGCAGCATGCAGAGCAGCGCAGCAAGCATGGAGCAGTTATACCTCAAACAGTCGCTTCACTGCACTCTGAAGACTGTAACGCCTTGGGAGTTTACTGCACTTAGAACACTTCGGTCCCAGACCTGGCAGGTCCCTGCAGTCTGAGGCTTGTAACTCCTTATAGAACGGCCACTCTGAGGCCTGTACGCACACACTTCAACATGCAGCATGTAACGCCTTAGGCAGCAACTTCACTGCACTCTAAGACCTGTAACGCCCATAGGACCGTGGCCTCGCGGAGCCATGGACAAGAATGTCGTGAAGGGCATGGTGGACTCCCTTGAGGAGGCGCGTGCAACGCGAACCTTGACCGAGAACGAAGAGCGCTTCATTAGCGAGTACCACCAGGAAGTGAGGGCACAAGCTGCCAGGAAGAAGGGAAGAAGTGCGCCCTCAGAGGCGAAGGAGGACGAGACACTTTCCGAGGAGCCCAGGGTGGGTGGTTTTTTCTATAGTATGTATGTATCTATATATATATATATATCGCTGTATAAATATCGAAACTTGAAGCTAGAAATCCTCATACAAAATATAGAGCTCACTTCTATAAACCTGCTCAAGTCATTTCAGGTTTTTAAATACATATTATATAAGGTTACCTTAAACTACCCATCTAAACCACCTAACAAATTTAAAGCATGTAGGGTTAATATGTATATATATATATGGGTTCGATGCCCGCAATACAAAATATCGCGAAGCCTTGAACCCTAAACCTATATAATCTTATTAAAAAACCAGCAAAGCCTGCATGCCAGGACCAGCCGACGAGTCCGAGGACGGAGCCCGACGCGGCTAAGGAGCCCGAGGTGGCCGAAAGGAAGGAGACGGAGTCGGAGGACAGTGCAGCGCCTTCGGTGGCGAAGCGGGAGGCGGAGCAGAGCTCGGAGGGCGAGAAGGCCAAGAAGCTGAAGAAGGAGCGCCGTAGGGCGGAGCGGAGGGCGGAGTCCGAGGAGCGCCGACGCCGGCGGGAGGAAGAAGACCGGGAGCGCAGCAGACGCTTTGAACGGGAGATGGCGGAGTTGAGTGAGAGCATCCAGCGCCAGCGAGAGGCGGAAGCGCAACTATTTGCGGACCGGCTTCGCGAGTGGAGCGACACGCAAGATCGCTGGTGGCGCGAGGCGCAGGAGGAGAGGGCGCGCCGTCGCCGTGATGAGGAGGAGGGGGAGGACCGTCGCAACCGAGGGCGCCGGGACCGGCGAGAGGACAGGAGCGATGATCGCTGGGATGATGGGCGTTATCGCCGAGACGACAGGCGCGATGATCGCCGGGGTGATGGGCGTGATCGCCGAGACGACAGGCGCGGCCATCGCGACCTTGGGCCTGGGCAGTGGCGCCGCTCTGGCGATGATGACACGGACGATGCTTGGTTTTTCTTCGTATACTGTTTTCGGGTTTGTTTATAAAATACTATATATATATATATATATAATATTTATCCTAATCCTGCATATAGACCTTATAATGCGAAAACCTTATGCAACGTTTCAGCTTCAGCTTAAAACCTTATAAGCCCAAAACTATATACATAAACCCTGATATCAACCTTGAACCCCAAACCCCAAAACCCATAAACGCACAACCCTATATAGCCATCTCAGGACTCGTGGTATGGTGGCAGAGGGCGCTCTGGAGGAGCGAGCAGCAGCAGCGACCCCCGTGGCGGGAAGGGCGCCCGTGGTGGCGGCAAAGGAGGAGCGCGCCGGCCGCGATACGAAAGCTACGTAGGGCGCGAACACGAAGCTCCGGATGGAACTCCGTTGGATCGCCGCCGAGGGGGCGCCGTCACGAAGGTCGCCGTGCTGCTGGGCGCGTTTGAACGCGATGGCTTGAGCGCAGACTTGCTCGACATGGCAGAGCGCTTCCAAGACGCTTTAAGTGCGCGCACGACGCGGATTGAGGATGGGTCGTGGGCAGACAAGCTGCGGCGCTTAGTTATAGCGATCGAGAACCAGGACGAGGACATGGTTCAGGAGCTGCTTTACGACTACACCCACAGGTGCAGTTTCCTGCAGAGCGCCCTGGCCAACAAGAAGTGGGAGGATTGGCGGCGGCGGGGCTACGAGGATCAGGGCGTTTACCGCCAAAAGGGCGCCAGTCGCCGGATAGTGGGCGCATGTCGCCTGGTACAGCTTCCAGCAGCGCACACTTGCGGCCTGGGTTTACGGGCTTTATATATATAGCCAGATTAATACGAAGCACATAGGTATAATATATTATAATCTAAAATACAGCTGCAAATGTGTGCCGCGACGGCAGAGCAAAGCGGAGCGTGACGCTTCAGGCTGCAAAAAACAGAGTGCGCACAACAGGTTTAGGTTTTTAGGGTTTAGGGTTTAGGGTTGAGATTTTACTTTAATGCAATTGTTCTATTTGATTCATAAAACCCTAAACCCACAACGCTTGAACCCAAACCCTTAATCCCTTATCCCTAGGCTTGAACCGCTAAGCCTTAAACCCCAAACCCTCGACCCTAAAGCCTTAAACCCCAAGCTGCCAACCCTTAAGCCTCCCCAAACCCTTATCCCAGACACCCAGCCGCCCCCCCAGCCAGCCCACCACCCACCCATCCGCTCTTTTGGGCGGGCTTCGGGGATGTGGGGGGGGGGGCGTGGGGGGGAGGCTTGGGGGGGCGTTGGGGGGGGGGGCGGGGGGGGCGTGGGGGTGGCTGGGGGCTGCTTGACGGGGCTAGGCAGGGCTGGGCAGGGCTGGGGGGAGCCGAAAATTCCAATTTATATATATAAATTGAAATTTCCAAAAACGGAAATTCCAATTTATATATATAAATTGGAATTTCCAAAAAAAAAATTCCAATTTATATATATAAATTGGAATTTCCAAAAAAAAAATTCCAATTTATATATATAAATTGGAAAAAATGGAAATTCCAATTTATATATGTAAATTGGAATTTCCGAAAATGGAAATTCCAATTTATATATGTAAATTGGAATTTCCGAAAATGGAAATTCCAATTTATATATGTAAATTGGAATTTCCGAAAATGGAAATTCCAATTTATATATGTAAATTGGAATTTTCGGCTCCCCCCCAGCCTTGCCCAGCCCTGCCTAGCCCCGCAAGCAGCCCAACGCCCCACACCCCGCCCGCCCCACCCCCCGCCCCGCCCCCACCACCGCCCCCCCGCCCCCCCCCCCCCCCCCGCCCCCCCCCCCCCGCCGCCCCCCCCCCCGGCCCCCCCAGCCCCCCCCCCAGCCCCCCCTCCCCAACGCCCCCACCCCCAACCACGGCGCCACCACGCGCCCACCCACCCCCCCCCCCCCCCCCCGCCCCCCCCCCGGCACCCACAGCCCCCCAAACCCCAGCCCCAGCCAAGAAGCCTACGCCCCCCAAGCGACCGCCCCCAACCACCATGCTGCAAATACCGCGTGAAAACAACAGCCAGGCATCCCCCACATCTGCGGGCAAAACCTGGCGGAAGTGATGCGCCACCGAGCAAAAAGCCTGTAAATACTGCATTAAACAAAATTTCACGCATCTGTTGGCAACATCTGGCGGAAGTGAGCTGTGAATCACTTCCGCCAGATGTTGCCCCGTCAACAACCAGCACACCCTCACACCCACAACCCACGCCGCACATCATGCCGAACAACCGGCACAAAACATGCAAACCCACCCCGCGCCCATTCAACCAGCAGCCAACGCCCAGACACCCACAAACCCTAACCCTGAACTATAAACCCTAAAACTCCAAACCCTCAACCCCCTAAACGCCAAACCCCAAACCCCAAGCCCCTAAACCCTAACCCTGAACCTTAAGCACCAAACCCTAAACCTTAAACCCCTTGAACCCCAACTCCTTAATCCCTTATCCCTATGCTTGAACCGTTAACCCTTAAACCCCACATCCTCAACCCTAAACCCTCCAAACCCCAAGCCGCCAACCCTAAACCCTAAACCCAACCCTGAACCGTATAACACCCTATATAACCCCAAACCCTAAACCCACACCCACCCGCCCACCCAAGCAAGCAAGCAGCAGCACGACAGCATCAACGTTAATGGCAACAGCACAACAACAACAACAACAACAACAACAACAACAACAACAACAACAACAACAACACTAGCAACAACAGCAGCAGCAACAACAACAACAACAACAGAAACTCATGTTATAGTGGTTCACCATGATATTTATTTATAGATGTTAGTTTTACATATAATTAACACTAAACAAAACCCTATTTAGTTCGTCATGTTGTAGGTCATTCTTGTTTCTACATGAGTATGATAAGTTGATTCACATATATCAATCTATGAATTGCAGGCGAATCGTAAGTATTACTGTATAATACTACAGACATAATTTAATGTTGGGGTTTATACGGTCTATGGAGCCCAAGGTTTAGGGTTTAGGGCACGGGCAGCTGAAACCACAACGTTTTGGCTACTGGCGGACTTTGGACGCTGCTGTATACTGCCACACAGGACACACATCTGCTGGCTTTCGGTCGAAGTGATATACACTGCTTGCATGATCGACGTATAACTGCTCTTCCACGCCGCAGGTGTGGCCTTTAAGACTATATACAACGGCGAAGCACGCCCTCAAGCTACACGGCGGCAAACGCCCTTTTTAGACTCAGTCGCGGTAACCGCGCTCCCGGTAGCTCTGCCACTGACGATTCTGCATGGCAGCCTTGACAGGAGGAGCGTGCTTGTACTCCTCAGCCATATCGCGAATCTCGCGCGCCTGGCTGTGACCAATCGCCGTGCAGAGGCGCCTGAGCTTGTCGCTCCAGCTGTTGGCCTTGACGGGCTCCACGCGTGCAGCGAGTTCATCCGAAAACCGCTCAGCCAGCTCCTTGAGCTCCCTCGCGACACCAGCGCGCTCGTACGTGGCCAGCAACACAGCGACTTTTGTTGCGCCTCCGCCACGGTTCTTGTCCAGTGGCTGACCAACTTGTAGATCCACCTCACGGCCAACGTAGCTCTCGCGATGACCGCGCCCTTTGCCGCTCTTGCCGCCTCTGCGATCCGACGCACCAGCATTGTCCGCGGAGCGCTGCGCTCGCCCCCATGCCTCACACGAGGAAGCTGGAAAAAGGACATTCCGCCACGTTGGGCGCTCCTCCCGCCCCGTTGGGCGCTCCTCCCGTCCTGTTGGGAGCTCCTCCCGCCCCGCTGGGCGCTCTTCTCGCCTCGTTGGGCGCTCTTCTCGATCAAGGGGGCGCCTGTCCCCGCGCCTGTCCTCGCGCCGCTCCTCCCGCCGTGCACGGCGCCGCTCTTCCTCCTCATCCATGTCCTCGCGCTGCCTGCGCCTGTGTGTCTCGCGAAGATCGCGCATCCGCTCTTCGTGTTCGCGCAGCTGCTCTTCCATTTCCACGCGACGAGCGCGCGCATCCTCCTCCATCCGCTCGCGAAAGCGTTCCCACTCCTCGCGCGACTCGCGCTCGTGCCGCCTTTGGCGCTCTGCCTCGTGCTCGAACTCCCGCCGCAGGCGCTGCAGCCGATCCTCCTCCCGCCGGGGACGGCGCTCCTCTTCCCCTTCATCCTCCTCCTCTTCGGTCTTCGCCCCCCTGGGCGCCTGCTTCCGGCGCGCCTCCACCTCTCTGGCCACCTGCTTCGCCGCCGTAACAGGCGCGCCTTTCTCTTCCACCTCCTCGCCCGAGGAGTAATACTCGTACGAGGAGTCCTCTGCAGCTGATGCACCGTGTTTCACCGCGCTCTGCGACGCGCTCTTGGCTTTCGCGCCAGGCACCAGCGGCGCCTGAAACACACCAGCCTTTTTCAGAGCCTCGTACTCAGCGAGAAACCGCTCTTCGTTCTCTGCAAGTTTCCGCGACTTGCGCGCCTTTTTCAACTCGGCAGCGTGCTCTTCCATGGCCAGGGTGTTACAAAGCAATAAGCTATACTCTGTCTGTGACTTACTTATGTATATATGATTTATATATCTATATACAGCACATATGTGCTCGCCACTGACGAGTCACAAGTATAGAAATGCATATGTACATGCTAAGTTCAGTGCCAGGGAGTTAGTATAGTCTACAGCGGCAGAGATGTAATTCCAAAGTGGTGCCGTGCTTCATCTCTTGTTTCCCGGTCTGTGAGTTCTGCCGTGTCCGCATGTCTCTGTGCATGTGTGTGTGTGTGTGTGTGTGTGTGTGTCAGTGTGTGTGTGTGTGTGTGTGTGTGTGTCTTGGCCCCGGGGCGCTTGCACTGTACATGAGAGCGATGAGAAAGCGGCGCCGGTCATATACTCCAACTCAAGTGCATCACGCGTGATGAAATCCTTCTTGGGAAGTGCACCTGGATGGGGTATAATAAAATCGTTGCTGGGAGGTGCTTGTGCTGTTCTGAAGCAACCATGCAATCAACCTGTCAGGCAGGGGTACATATAAGTCGTTGCTGGGGCGTGCTTGCACTGTTCTGAAGCAACCTGTTCGCCTGGCTTGGGGCATCTTGCGGTGCGCCTGCAGCAACCAAACCTGGCAGCCACGATTATGGGGTAAAGTTGTCGTCCCGCCAGGATTGGGGTAAAGAGTCAACCAAACAACCTGTCAGCCAGGCTTCGGGCTAAGTCGATGTTGCAACAACGACGTTGTATACCTCCCATGGAAGGTGCTTGCGCATGTTCTGAAGCAACCAAGCAACCTGTCAGCCAGGATGCGGGGTAAAGTCATTTTGAGCAGGTTCTCGCGCGCTGCAGAAGCTGCCGTGCAGCGGGAACAAACTCCATTCTACACGAATTTTGGTTTGGTAGGACATGAATCTTAATAAAATCATAAGGTGCACCTCCGAAATTCTATAGTGCACATACCAAATATTGTTGGCTTAAAGCCTAGGTCATAACCACTATAACCCTCTACATAACCCTTTACATAAACCCTTCCATAACCACTTATGTAACCATTTATGATAACCACTTGACAACCCTTTACTAACCTCCATAACCCCTATAAGTCACTAGCTAAAACCCGGTCCATTAAAGTGGGTGGGCAAGGCAACGTCCCATCTGCCAACACTGCCGTCAGCATCACTTCGTACGTGATGGCTGAGCAGTGGACCCCGCCCCCGCGGGGGCCTCCACCAACCCCTCTGCATTGGAGGGGGGTGCGAGAAATCCCTAGGCCCTAGGTTTCCCGAAGTACCCCACCCGGGGGCTTGAGCCAAACTACCCTTGTAGAGTGTGTTGCACTTGTACAGAACCACTGCG